AAACTGACTACAATTCTGACGAGTTAAAAAACCAGAACATCCATCCAAGCTACTTTCATCAGTGACTTTCCCTCCCCTGCAGGAAGACAGCCAAAAGGTCCAGTTTATGCACTTCATCACAACACACCAGCAGCCAGCAAAGAATTATCTGCCCCGCTGACTTTTACACACCCAATTCTGATTGTTCTTCAGGGCAGCTTTTGGGGGGGAAGGGACAAGGGAATGTCATCAGTTCAGCTTTTTGAACGAGCACGTAGCATGGCCAGGAACACTATACAGACGGTGTCACGGTGACAGTCAAGAGGCCCTTGTCCACATGGTCGTGGTGGAGCATGGGACCACAGCTGGAAGCCAGAATGAGTCGGCAAACATCTTGTTCCAGCTTCTGCTATGCCATCTGGCTACCAGTTAGGTGACTGACGTTAAATGTATTTTCTCCATATTACCATCTGGCAGCTGCTTGTACAACAACAGAGTAACACGCAGAATTTGGCTAACTGTTATCCTTAGAATCGTATCAAGGATACTTGCAACACTGAGATTCTGAAATAGAAAAGGCGTACAAGGCAAGTTTTTTGCTGTCACGATCTATGCCAAAGGTAGTTTCGATAAAGGAAACAAATTAAAGAAATGGATTAGTACAAACAACAAAGTCTCAAAAAGATGTTCCTTTAACAAAAATTTCATCTAAAAATGTAAATATTGCCAAGTACAGTGTAACTGTAGTATGAAGTACAGTGTTACAGCTGTAATGCCAGGTCTTCATATTTATAAAGGTTGCATTTGCAAAGCCTAGGGGCCATAGTAACCTTGCTGGGCTTTAAATGTAACAGAATGGGGTGCTTTAAAAAATGGAGTAGGATTTTCAATAAATATGATCCCATGACAGCTTAAAATCAATAAATCTCCTACTCCGCTTCCTCCTGTGCTGGTGCTCATATGATTCTCAAATAATATAAACCTATAAAAAAAAGCAATTCCAGAAGAAAAAAAAAAAAAGAAAGAGGCGTGTCTTTGAATGCTAGGAAGAGCAATACTAAAATGCTAGAGGTTTGGCATTCAGAGTTAGGCTGAAGTTATTAAATGTAGTATTATTTTGTCTCTACTCTGCAGAAGAATGTTCAATGTGAAAGCTTCTACTGCATTTCCAGATATTTCTATAGATTACATCTAGGACGTAGTCTCTGAAAAGAAGGGTTTGAGTTGAGATTGTATAGCAACAAGAATGTCAGTTTCCCAATGCATCAGCACTTCTGCTGATGTTCATTCTCCTAAGCATTTTATTAAAAGCATAACTAGCATTGGCTGGAATACTAGTTATACTATTTAAACACCTAATCCAAAAGGTGTTTTTTCTTTGATAAATCTCTAAAATTTCATCTGGCTTCAATTTCACACAGCTTTTTCACAGGAAAGAAAGTGTAAGACAACGCTCTGCTCAAAAACCAACGAGTGCAAAACAGAAGTATGAAGAAGTTTGACTCCACTTACAGAAAAAATTGGGAGTGAACAGTCAAGCATTTTGTCAATAATAGAGTGACATCGGTACAGTGTGATCACACAGCACAGGTTTTACAGGGCACAGCACCGTGAAGCACAGGTTTCCCACTGCAGACACTGGAACTGTAATGTGTATAGTCTAGTATGTACACCGTAATGTATAATAAAAGAGTTATTCTATCCACACTGATGCTGCTGTTTCCAAGAACTACAGCCTCCACAAAATTCTCAGGAGCATTGGACAGATGGTACATTTTGGCTCTCCATGTACTGAATTTGGGAGTATTTCTGCATCACAGACGAGAATAAATTGTGCTAAGAGAGAGAAGAGGGGTGGCATATAGTCATTTTTTATTTTAGGCCTCTAAGTGACCCATGTTCTCTTTAAACTCCAGTTTTATGAATGCAAAGTTGTTTATGCAGCTTATAGGAACTAATGATCTTCTGTTCCTGATAATTAGAGGCTTTTCATTTCATGTGTTCTTCTCCTCTTTGAAAATAAATTTAGTTAATATGCTTTTCAAATTTAGGTAACTTTGACCACAAAGCAGCTAATACACTCATACTAAAAGGTAAAAAAAAAAATTATAACTATATGTGACAGTTGTAAAAGGGACAGCCACCATTCTTAACACAAAAGACCAAAGAAGAAGTGCTGTGTTATCCTAATCTTTGCTTAGTAACAGAGGCAAGAACTGAGATGCCATCATGTCAGAAAACACACAAACTAAAGGATAACCAAGAGAAAAGCTAGCAGAAATTATTACTTTTGTTTATTTTACCATGCTTCAAGCAATCCACTACTTGTTACCCAGGTAATACATCTTCCCATTCAAAGTCTGAGTCTCATACTAATCAGGCACATGCCACAATCATTTTAGCTGTTTTCTGGATCAATGTTTTTTTGTTGTTGTTGTTTGTTTGTTGTTTTTTGTTTGGGGTTTTTTTTTGAGAGAGTATGTATGTGCACACATTAAGACTTGACATGACCAAACTTTCTCTGTCAAAATCAGATTAAAAATATACATAAAGGAATATATCTAGCAAAACCATAAATGATTCAAAACTGCTAGGTGCTTCAACAAAATTGTTTAAGTTTTCTCCCTGCACCCAATCCTCCCTCTGTTATCTGTATCTTAATCAGCTCAGCACAGAGGACTTCACTTCTGGTCACCCTTGTTGCCGCAAAACATGTGTTTGCCTGCTCTTTGCTGCTTTCCTCACTTGGACTCATTGCTTCCTTTTTGCTTAGGTTTCCCCCATTCTGACCAACCTCCTTTGAAATCTGACCATTTCCATTTGTGTTTTTAGCAAGTTTGACAGTCCTTTGGTATTTCTTCAACACGTATCTTTTCAGAGATACGCCTAGAAGATATTGTGTATTCCTGTTCCAAGAGAACCACCAGGAAATTATTTTAAAAAATTGGTCTGAGAGGTCACATAATTTGATGCAAGATGGGCAAAGACTAGCAGGTGATTTGTAGCCAAAAGCAACCTTTGCTACCAGAGTATTTAGCCAAGCCTTCGCTAACTGCTTAAAGCCAGTTGCATTGATCAAGACTGAGTATGGAATTTTAAGTTCCTCTCTACTATTTTGGTTGTTCTTAGTGCAGCGCCATTTTCTCACATACAGGGTGTGAAGATATAAATAATTAGAAGTCAAGTCATCCACCTCTAATCTGTCTTGACTCGGCTGAAGGTGGCAGTGTACACCAGTTTCTGTGTAATAATATATAACAGAGACTGTACAGTCTTTGTGTCCATCATTTTGCTTCATTTTTATTAGCAGAGATCTAGGACCTCGGGCAACAATTCTGTAAAAATCCAACATTTTGGATAAAAGAGGATTTTTTTTTTTTTTTAAAGTCTTTTATCTCCAACACTGATTGCAATTTGTGATGTGGATGAAGCATTTTGTGGTTTTCATTTTCATGTATCTCTGATGAAAGCCATAGTACAATATTGATACCCTGTACTTAAATGTCAAAGCTTCGCTTTGTGGTTTTTGTAATATTTTGTTTAAATATTGAAGTATGACAAAATTGAAGTCTGAAAATGCTATGTTTAAGTTCTTTGCTTTTACCTACATATTGCTTATAGCCCAGCCATAACTTTTGCTATCAAGCCATCTGCTCATTTTGGTATAGAATAGAATGAGCAAATATTGGTAATTCAGCTTCTCTTAAACAAAACTAAATCTTGGGCACCCTGCATTGCGTTTGAAGATGCCCAAACCGGTTTAAAATGTGCTAGCTCACACACTAGAGCCTTAACTTAATATAAACTCTTACTATAATTCATGCCACTTTATACTTCAGATCTGTTCCCGGTAATTTAGAGCCAAATCACTAAGATAAGCTGAGAATCCAGAGAGGCCTAAAGGTACCCAGGCACCTGAAACCAAGAGGAGAATCCTCTGCGTTTTCAGTGACAGTGAATCCTTGGAATCGGCTCTGCCAGCTTTGTCCCCTTTCTGAAAAGCGCAGTAGCAGTGGCAGCGTCCGAAAGAGGCTTGCTGTATTCGGGCCCCTGCCCTTCTCCAGTCCACTCCCCGAAGTCAGGGATGAGGTACCCAAGCCCTCGCGAAGGATGTCATTTCAGATACAACTCTTTCCAGGGCTGTGTTTTGACCCGATGAGACAGTTCCTTGCTCTTGTGAGTTGGTTACTAAACTACCATCCTGAGGCAGCTAGCTGTCTAAAATATGTACTTTCAAGGCAGTTTGAAGGCTGCTGATTCCTATCCACTGGTCAGGAAGAGAGAAATGTAGCCTTACTTTTAATAGTAGTTTATTCCAGTGGAAGTCGATATAGCTGTTCAAGGACTACAAGATTTCTCTCTTAATGAACCAGATTTTTTAACAAATACCTCCCTGTAAAGGTGTTTCTGACCCTTCAAAATATACAGCTAGTTCAGAAGAATCAGAATTCCCTCACCTAAATTAATCTCTAATAACTTTTGAACAAGTATTTGTATTTTACTGGGACATAATACAAGTATCTTCATAGACCAGCATGACCATCCATCTGACCATCTCCCTTACAGAAGGCCCACCACTCATTTTGCTGCGCTTTGTAGAGTTGATCACTCTCAAAAGGAAATGGTTCTGTCCAGAAATGACCGCTCAATACCAGCTGGGCAATGTGCAATCCTATATCTACTGCCCCTTCCCAGGACCAGAAACCTAATTCAAACCCCACGTCAGAGTGTAGCTCCTTATAGTCCATTCCATATGATGGTGGGAAATCTGAAACAAAGTATGGAAAGCGAAGGAAAGTAGGCTGAGTAGCCCATACATATCCCTTTTGACATTTCCATCACAGATGTGCAATTTTCACTTTCTACACTTTTTATGAAGTTTTTTAAAGCAGAAGGAAACGTTACAGTTTTCACAAGCTAGGGCCTAGAAATCAGGGTTTTTTAACATATTTCAAGTGACTACAGTTGTAATTCCCACTCTTGCAGAAGGTAAGATCATTTGCTTTAAAAAAAAAAAAAAAGTCTGTGGACAAAAACATCTTTACACACGAAGCTGGGTTCCGAGTGAGCTGGAGCTGTTGCAGGAGTACATATCTGTCCAGACCTGAATTCCTCCTCCTCTCTGTCTCTGTCCCTCTCTGTTCAGGAGGGAGCATGCATATATGGCACAGTGCACAGTATATGTCCGTCTCCAACTGCCCTGGTAGACTTCACATGATGTCAAGCCCCGGCGTCCCATCAGGTGGAACACTTCTAAACCTGGACAGCCTTTCTTTTGCACTCCACTTGGCAAGGCAGAGCATATTGCCAAGTCTTCACCCCCCTTAGCCCGTGCCCGGTGATTTTGCAGTGAGCTGGCAATTACTCAGACCGGCGTGTGGTCAGGTTGCGTGTCAAAGACATTTATCTCATTTACAAGCAGAAGATTCCCCAATGAATAATTCAGAAAGAAATAATCCCCTTCATGGTCCATTTTTCCAACCCAAGGCTCTGTCTCTAACAAGCACCCACTGAACGTAGTGAGACATGTTGACTACAGAATTAACGATTTAAAAATCATCGTGTATACCATGCATGCAGATATCACCCAGTGATTCTACTTACTGCTAAAGACAAAAAGCAACCTGTCGGCCCAAACCTCAGTGAAATCAGATGAGGTTTTCCTATCAACTTAAGATGGAGCTGGAATGGATCTAATAAACTGAACCCATAATGCCATCATTCACAGGCTCTCATCACAAGTTAAACTACTGGCTTTTTGGAAGCTACTTGATATTTTCTTTCCAGCAGCCACACAGCACATTGATTTGCACAAAGCTTATAAAAATAGCAATAGCTACAATATGATATTGCCCAGCAAAGGAAGGTAAACTTGCTGTCAGCAATGTTTTCTTCATCCCTCCATTTTTTAAATGAGATTTGCCATACTTCATAAGCACATGGCTAAGTCTGTTTTCTCCTAATTTGTGCATGAATCTGTTATAAATATATTAAGACAGTGCAGAGAACCTCTTCCTTACATCTGTATAATATCCCATGGGTTACCTTACTTTGTGCAAATGAAACGGCTGAAATTTTGGCAATTAGATTACACAGGAAAAAGATAATTTGTGTTAAACAGCAACTCTGATGAAGTGTAAAAACATAACCTTTTTGCCCCATTCTTTTTTCATACTGAGAATGGCCAGCAAGATCTGGTAATTGTCATGTCTAGCCCCAATCCTCTTATATCTGAAGGAAGATGGGTAGGACCAGAAGCAAGTCTATTTTTTCTAACTACATCAGCTAGTCTAACTCAAAAATATCATCATTCCTCCCAAACTGTGCCTGAAGAGCAGCGGTTTTCAACACAGGAGGAATGCAGGAATAATCTCTAAACTTCACACACTATCTAACAGGCAAAATAGCCCTATAGATTTTGGCTTTATGGCAAGTGGCATAAAAGAGGACTGGTTTTCTATACAACTCTAAGCTGTTTAATTGGACATTTTCAGACTTGACATCTCACTTGCCTCAGTTTCCAGAATCCACCACGAGACTCCCTGTGTGAAACTGGGCTCACAGCACGATGGCACCTGAACTGAACAAAAGCTGCAGGCATCTCGAGCTACAACCCTGCCAGTGCTCTCATCTGTAAAACGGAGGTGAATGCCCTCTAGCCAAGTTTAGCCGTTCCCCAATAACCTCAAGTGAAGAGTGCAGTCCATATACAAAAAGTATTGTTACCATTAAAGCACTTTGCCTGTTTCATCATCACACAGAACACGATGCCTTAATGGGCATTTGAATAACCATTAGTGTAAAGTAATATTAACAAGTAACAACGAGTCTCAACATTGAGAAAACATTGATGAAACCGGTCTCCGTGTCTGGGGATGACAGCAGTAGCGATACACACAGACCAAAAGCTTCATTCTGAAAATCCGGTCTGAACTGGCACTGGGAGCTAGAAACCAGCTCTAGGTCCAGGTTCCACAGATGGACTTTGTAAATTCAGCCAAAGTCTCCACGCCTGAACATTTATTGTTGCACATGTGTGTAAATCTAGATCTCAGCTTTGCAGCTTAGTCCACCTTGGAGTTACCAAGCATGATGACATTTCATTGCAAATGTAGTTTTATAGAGCCACCGGTTGTTAGGATACAGCTTTGTTCACCATCGTTAACCATACCATCTCAATTCATCATGCACCCACTGTACCATAAATCTGTTAATTAAAGAGACTCATCTTGTACTATAGTATTTTTATAACAGCCTTCCTCCTAGGCACATATTCAGTTATGTTTCTTCCCCTGTGCTTTATCAGCTTTATGTTTCCACTGGTCACAGCTAATTAGGACTGAGTGAGCTATGCTATTGTAGATCTAAAATGTTGACGTTATAAGCAGCTCGTATCCATCTCCTGCCTATGTCCCCAACATGGGAGGGCGAGAGGAACCTCCTGAAGAAGCAGGACCCTCCATAGCAGCCTCCCTGCTCTCCCAGCCATAGCCACCGCTTTCTGCGGCCCCCTTAAAACTGCCCAGGAGAAAAGACTAAGCAAAACTTGGACTGGGCTCAGCTGGTTTTGATACCAAAGCTTGTACCCAGCTGCTGTGAAGCACAGCCCATTTCCAGTGGATCAGATATGAAAAAGCAGCAGAGCAGAGGGTCTCCGCATCTGAACGCTTACAGAAGGGACCATTTGACTTGGTCACCATTAAGCTGCGTGCCGTTATCAATGCTGGAAGCCTGTATGAGGAATGTTGGCTTTGCCTGTAAGAGTTCCCTGCTGCTTCTGTAATTATATCAGTGAAAATGAGGGCCCTTAATGGGGATATTTATAATCTTTGTCTGAACCATCCTCTTTACTGCATAGAGATCTTCACTTCTGCACGGGGAATTTATGTTCCAACTGGGTCAGTTCCTCTAATAGCATATTGGCTCTCCCTTTATTAGAGGGAAAAATTCAAGATCTGTTAAAATAGAGGGAAAGATCCCATGCGTGCATTGGTCTTTGGGTTAGGTCCCCATGGAAGCTTTTTTCCTCCTAACAAAGCAGAGTAAATTTCCACAGACCAAGCATTATTGAGGCAAGCCATTAATTGCAAAATAAATCAAACAGTTGCAATTTTCTTCCCTTCTCATCTTCGCAGATGTTGTCGCATCAACTTGTCTCCTGTGACAGTAATAAACCATGGCCGCTGAGGACACACGCATGTTGTCCACAACTGAAGGAGAGACGGTGAGTCTTCAACAAAACATTTCTTTCCTCCGAAGCAGATAAGCAGTGCACATAGTAAAGACATACATGGTAGTTTAATTGTGCATTAAGGCACACAGTACCTGCTCCTCCCTGCGGCATTTTATCCGTTGCATGACAAAACTCCGGCAGAGCCAGGATCCCTGCCAGGCAGAACTGCACAGTCCAAGCACCGCTTTTTCTCCCATTTCTTGTCTGTCCCAGTGACTTGTCAGGGCAATTACCATGCAGCTATACAAAGTAGTATTTCGCTAATGCCTTGTCAGTATAGGTAAAGGGTATTGAAATTTTCCTGAACAGCCCACAGATCCTCAGACTCTGGTTACCTTCTCCAAGCACAGACAGACCTAAAAGTCCCTTTGCCTTATCTCAGCTTTCAGCGCACTGGTTCACATAACAAGATCTTTTCAAAATTTCTCCATGTATCACAGATTTTCCTTTCATTTAACAAGAAAATAATTTTTTTAATGTTTAAAAAAAGTGAGGCACTTTTAAATTTCCAGGTATTTAGGCCTTAAGTGCAAGGCCATTTTGTAGCTCATGCCTTGAATTCATTGTGGTATTTCCCCAAGGATGTTGTGCTACCGAGTTTCTCTTCTAACCAGCAACTTTACAAATTGACAAACTATAAGAAGGGCTTCTGCTACAGAATGAAGAATCAATAGCTGTCTACTTGGATAGCCTCAAAAAGTGCTTAACTTTTAATTGAATGCTGAAAAAGAAATTGCAAAGTGCAAGAGCTCAAAACAGCATGAAGCCTACATAATTATCTTTCTCCTTGCAGTTCCTTATGCAGACTAGAGACTAATTAAACACATGTGCAGGCTAGAAAATGATTTGCAAAGATATATCTTTTGTCAGTTTGCAAGGGGACCTAACCAGAAGGAAAGTACTAGCAAAGAAGAGGAGCCATTGCCACCTGTCTTGTACTGTCATTTTTACTAGTACCTTGGTTTTCAGTTTCCCTCATCTAGAGTAAAGACAAATTAGATTTTGCATCTTTACAACGAGAAGAACAAAGTTCAGGACAATGGCAAACTCAGGCCCCAGGCTTCAAGAGTAATAGAAACACATAGACAGGGGTTTTAAAGCATTTTGGTACTAGCATCACGCACTATACAAATATATTTTTCATTATAAAGATACCTATCCTAACATGACCCATTTACAATACAGAAACAGATTTTTAAAAAAGCATTTGTCTTCCTTCTGTTGCAGAAAGGCAAAACCAAGTAAAGCCTTCAACCTTAAAATCCATTCTTTAGTATTTATCATGCTAACAAAAAGGCCTAAAACATCTATTAAAAACATATTTAGTAAAATCCTTCTCCAACATACAATCACTACCTACCTCTTCTCCCTCTTTTCCAGGAGAAAAAAAATCTCAGCCTGCTCACCAGGGCCTTAAATTCTCTCTCTTTCGCATCCGAAGTGAAAGCACCTGCTCAGGCTCACTCTCAGCTGGCAGGATTGAATTAGAGCCCAGCAACCATTGCCCTAATAGGAGGCAATATTATTAACTTTAATTCATTCACATCAGCATTGATCAGAAGCAGTTACTGAGTATCAGGAAGACATCAGGATGTCAGTACATGGTGTTCAAGGCCAGTGTAATTACCACAGAAACGAAGGATGCTGTGATCAGTCCAAACAATCGTGAGTAATTATAATGGAAAATTCTGATCTTCTGTGGGTTTCGTCCCACATGCACCATCTGAAGACTCACGTCGTTCAAAGGGCTGTGGTTTCTGTGAGTCTGGAGTCCGAAAAATACAGTGCCTGCTGCTCCAAAAACTGTAGCTGGCAAGTACATTTTTAAGGTGGTGATGGCAATCTTCAAGGGATATTTCCCACCAGTGAACCACCGTAGGGCAAGAGAAAGGCGACTACACTGCTCATAGATGGTGCCGCTCCAGGATTTCGAACGCCTGCGCAAATTAAAATGAAATTTTAAGTATGTTATGGCACTGCACGGCTCTGGCAGAATAGTTCAATGCCACTTTAGGATCTCAAGCAGGCTGGTGGAACAAGACCGCAAGACTTTGGATGTGTCAGTCTCTCTGGTAAAGCTAACGCTAGATACCCCAAAGCCTGAAATCGCACGCGCAGAGGGATGCTTTCCTGAAAATGTTTCCTGCGAGAGGGGCTGTGGTAGAAGTTGGGAGGGGAGAAATCGTCCAAGATGAATGATCCTTTCTCATCTTTACCAGCAATTGCACTCCATCATCCTTTTAAAACCTCTGATGTAAATAAATGCACTGCTATATCCTGTCTCTGGTTCTCCTCCATTTCCCTGGCTCCTCTCCTGCCAGACATCCCCTTAATCCCTCCACACCTGGGGAAGCACAGGAAGGGGTGGGGGGACGCAGCATTGGCAGGTGACTGCTCTCTTTTGCTCTCACTCAAGTGCCCTCCCGATGAAGTCCTTTTCATTAGCATCGCTGCCCCCCACCCCAACAGGAACTTTCTGTCCCCAAAATCCATCCGCCCTCTTGCCAAAACACGGAAAGCAGAAGGGGACAGCGGGAACAAGAAGGCTGGTTGCTCGTATGTGTCCTCACTATGGCAAATATCACGCTCAGATTCAGCTTGGTGAATACCAGCTGGCCACGTGTGGGCTGCCTGGGGCCACTTCATGCCATAAAATATCCCAGAGCTGTCAGAGAGTAACACTTCTAATTTTGGCGTAGTGAAACATCAGCTCTGGAGGAGCTTTGCAGGGCCCGGCGGTGCGTGCACTACCGGACTGCTTTGTATCCCCACGCACAGCCAGCCCTGCCCTCCCCTGCTTGCACAGCCCTTATAGCTCAGCATCTATAGCTCCTGCAGGATGCACAGCTCCTGCGAGCACAGCCGGGGCTGCCGCAAGTCCCCATTGCACGGCCAATGCTGCCACCCTAATGCAAAGCGAAGAATATATCCACCAGGCAGCAAGCCTCCGTCCCCGGCCCTGCACCCCCGCCAGGCAGCCCTGTGGGGTACCTGCGGAGCCCATCAGGGAACCAGGCTGGGGGCATGGAGCTGGGGGATGCTTTATCCACTGATTTTCAGAGCTTCAAGAATAGGCACAATCAGCCTCCCGCAAGGCGCCGGAGTTTATCGGAAAGCCATCCCAGCCTGGTGAAATGGATGCACAGCGCTATAGGTGCGGCCCTCGCTGATGGAGAGCGGGGAGAAGAGAGGGCACTTGCCCTTCTCAGACCCTGCACGGTCAAATGAAGAAATGGTTTCTTATATGCTCTTTCTCACAGTCATATGATGTGAAAAATCCTTAAAAGAAACCTTAAAAGCGTATCCGGCAGAGCGTTCAACTGATGGAAAAAGACTTGGCACTGTCATTTTTAGCCATCTTAAGACATTAGGCAACATGAATATTTTAAGAAAACATAGAAACGTGCAGAATAGCTAAAATAAATGCTCTTGCCTATCAGTTTAATATTTCCTCCCTGTGAATACTTCACTAATTTCTCCTCCAATGGAAGCTCGCTCCCAAAAAGCAGCCGGAGAGGCTGTTGGCCGGGCCTGCTCCCGTTAGGAAAATGGCAATGCTGACATCTACCGCCGGCAGCGCGGCATCGCCTGCGCCCGCCGCCCGCAGGTGGGCTCGCCCCCCGCCGGGTTCGTGAGATACGGCCAGCTGAGGGCAAACGCGCATAACCGATAGGCGAAGGAAAAGTAACCGCTGCCATGCTGTTACAGCCCCAGGCGACGGTCTGAAGTGCAGATATTTATCGAAGGCTGCGTTGCACCGATCTCATTTTTGTTACGGGCTCAGGTACCTTCAAAATATAAATACTCAGTGCAGGTAAACATTTGCTTTCTTTAGGAGACCCACAGGACTTTTATGCATTAATTCTCTCCCCCTTCTAGATTTATTTTCTCTGTTAAGTTTTACGCTGTTCCTTTCATCCAATTAGTACTAAAATCTTCTTTTTTTCATCATGGAGCAGATAGGAAACATGTTTTATTTCCTGCAGCAAGAAAGAATAAACCGCCCCCAAAAAAGCCTTAAAGATTACAAATGAAACTTATAACGTTTGTGCCTCTCTGCGGCGTTTGAACGCTGCACCTCTAATAACATTTAAGTGACCTTCAGGAGCTCCTTGTTGTGTATGTTATAGGAACCATCCACAGGGGGAGGAATAAACCTTGAAGCTGCAAACCAAATGCAATACTGAGAGACACTGGCAATTAATAGAAACAGAGAAATTGGGTATGGCTGTGCATACATTAGGGAGGATACGCAGAATCCACCCTTTCCATACACGGCAGAGCACGCAAAGTGGCTTTCAGTTGCGCGTGAAAAAGTTGCAAGAGTTTATTGCAAGACGAGTTGTTCCTAATTACATTTTTTAAGCGTGCCCTTATTGGAGCATTCCCAATTATAAGCAATTAATTAGTTTCTTTATAAACTGGTACGACAGCCATTCCCGCTAGCACCTCCTCGACACATTATGCACAACACGCAGCTATTGGTGCAAAGTACAACACACTTCTGAAATGATCCTGCCATTGCTGACATATTTCATCAAAAATCACTTAAAAATAACAGAAGCTTGGTGCTTCTTTTTCCTCTCACATCTTTCTCAATATTCAGAGCTAGTACGCATGAGGCCCAGCTGTGGTGCATTGGCATTAAACTATGTAAGATCAACACCTGATGAGCATTTTAACTATAGTACAAGGTGTATTTAAGCAGGGGTGATGGTTTTGGTGAGTCTCTTGGGAGGAAGGCGGTAGCTGGGCTGGTTAGAAAGTGTCTGATGAAAGACTTCATCAAGAAGAGAAACTCCTCAGACAGGTTGGTGATGGTGGGGCTCTGTGGTATGCTGGAGAGCTTGAGCCAAGCCCCTCTGTTGCTCAATCTGGGCTCAAATCTCCTTCCTGCTGCCTTTGGTGTTGGCTAATTTGGAGGAGCAATGGTTTTTTTCCCCCTTGCTTCAACAATGTTGCATTCTCCTTAGAAAGGGGGGGGCCTCAGAAAAAGCCCCCTTTTTTGCAGGATAGAAAAATGGTATCTTACTGAGCTGTTATCTATCCTAGTGTTTATATTGCAACACCATCTGTCTCCTGCAACGTGTTTGCTGTACATACGTACCACAAAGAGCTATTTGCTTGATAGATGGATGCAGGAAGACCAGTGAGGTTGTGGTGCTGCCTCTGTCCTAGCTGTTTCTTTGTGGTTAGCTCAGACTTTCTCTTTGCAGAGGGCTCACGTGTCCCTCCTGCACAAGAGTGCAATGTCTCTGGTGATGATGCTCATTTGTCTTAGGGAAACATTTGCAGGCTGTTACTAGGGTGGAGGACTTTATGCTCTGGGCACTGAGCACAGAAGAGCCCCCAGGTAAGTGGCAGGGAGGGAGGAGGAGGAAGGACTGCATGAGCCACCAATGTGGGGCCTGGCAGTCTGTGGGATTCTGGTGGCCGCAGACCACCCTGCCACCACTCAGCAATGGGGACCCGAGGTAACACATTGTCATCTTGGCTGATGTTCCTTGAGGAAAGAAGGGGTTTGGACAGTTTCCAGGAACCTCCAGCCCTTTCCCTGCAGCACAGGCGGTCCCACCTGCAATCCCTAAGCTAGGGGAGACTAGGGCTTGTGTGAAAAAGCTACTTTGAGGGAGAGGCAGTCCTTTCCAACACAACAATAAAATAAAACATAGCTGTCTTTAAATGGAAAGAGGAAGAAAGCATAGAGAGCAATGCTCTTCTGCCCTAATTCAGAGTATTCAGCCCTACCTGCATGCCAGGGTGCTAAAACCAGTGGTGCATCAGCAGAGCAGAGACAATGTGGTGCTGGACTGGGGCTGGCTGCTCTGAGTCTGGTACCCCCATGGGTTTTGGGGGCACCTACAACTGGCACCTTTGAACTTTACTAATGTTTAGGGAGAGGTAGGGGAAAGTATTTTTGAAACAATGATATAATCCCACTCTCTTTTTTTTTTTTTTTCTAGTGTATGAGGTAATGAACATCTTTAGTGTTTAAAGGTGCTGTGAGAAGCTGCAGGGCATGTGTGAATGCCAACATTTTATGGAAGGGGTGGTTTTACTGCCAGCAGACTTTAAAAAAAAAAAAATCCCTGCAGTTTATATTAATAAGACTGGATGTTATTGCGTGTCAGGAGTTATTGTGATTTATAAAGTACTTCTTACTTGGTGTGTAATGAAAACACTTGGCTCTCAGTCCCAGTCACTAACGGGAGATGATAGTAGCTTTATCTGCAATAGCCAACTTGACCTGGAACCCTCTGTCATTTTTAATGATATTTTAGTGCTGCCTTTTGCTTTCACCTGAGCTTAGGGTAGCCTCAACTTTCCTAATGTGAATAAATGATAGAATTCTCTTTATAAAAGAAGGAATTTAAGAGAAAAGGGGGAAAACTGCACTGTTTGGTATTAATGCCCCAAACAGCACTGCTCCGTGAGTGTAAGTCCTCATTTTGTAATGCTGCAAAGTTGGTCCTTTAATAACATGCTCTGCTTGCTGTTCTCAAGCCTCTCATTCAGGACTATTATTCTTCTGTTGAGAATTTGACACATTAAAGATACCAAAAATATAACAGGGGAAAGGGGTGGAGATGGGTGTAAGCAGATGGATGGGTCCAGAGCTAAATAATTATTCCCAAGTGTGCTTCTTAAAAAAAAAAAACCACCCTGTATTTAACACCAAAAGAGTATTACTGTGAAATAGCTGTGAGTGGGGGAAAGACACTTTCAGAAGAGGACTCCTCAGGACCATGCTGGATTATTCTTTGCCCCAAAAGCGTGTGCGTGTGTATAAATTTTAAAAAGCAAGAAAGCCAACATGCACAGGGCTACCTTTGCTACTCCCCTGTTCAGCTATTCTTTAAATGATTAGGTAAGGTATGGGTATAGCTTGATAACTGGGGATCACTAGCCCTGCAAAGGTAGGGCTGGCTCCTAAGATAATGCCTTCCCTTGTTGGCTCCTGTCATGATAATACAACCCAGTATAAAACTTCCTACCTGTGCATCATCTTTGCTGTTATGAGCTATTTCAGTATAGTCCTGTGGCATCCCTAGGGTTAGAGCAAGTGGGAATTACTGGGAAGGAAAAGAGCTCAGCAAACTCCCTGAGTGGGGCAAGGTGTCAGAAATAGCTCCAGCCTGAGCAAAGCCCCAGTGCGCACTAGTGCTGCACTGGATCCATCTAGCTGCAGGGAAAGTTGGATTTAAAAAAAAAAAAAAAAATCGGAAGCAGCTAATGTATCCTGCTGGTTTAAATGCAACAAAGCTCCTGCGTTCCTCTGGGAGCAGCAGGAAAGCTGGGCACAGTGGCCCCCTTCCGCAGAGCTGCGTTTCCTCGCTGCGCATGCTGCATGTGGATGCAGGGCTGCAGGTACAGGGGAAACCTTGCCCTTGCCTGTCCTGCTGCGCCTGTGGTGGCCTGCACACTGCCTGCAAGAAGCCTGGCCCACCTGGCAGGGAGCCAGCAAACAGTATCACGCTTGGGCTGCTTCTAAGTTGGATGCTGGAAACAGGTACAATATAACTCTGTTTCCAGGCGTAGGGAAAAGAGCTTGCCACCTGGGGGGCTGAAAAATCTCAACTACCCAGAAATGTGGTCATTTTTGGCAGTGAAGATGGGTGATGTCACCTGATCTGCTTTGGACCTCT